CAGAAGCAGAGGATGCATCTTTTTGAATCTTTCCATTCTTTATCCCGGCTTCCACCCTTTCTCCTGTCAATATCAACTCAGTAAAGCCTGCTGATGAACTCCCAATTAATTGATTAAAGAAGGGACCAGACAAAGTGCCCAAAAACATGTCTACCAACTCTCTTTCAGATAGAGGAGGCTGGACTCTTCCTGCTAAGTCCCTCCATTTTTGCGTGTAGTCCTTAAAGCCTTCACTTAAAACCATGGCCATACTCTCGAGTTGAGTACGGGTGGGCACAAGATCAGTGTTGTGTTGGTATTGTTTGTAAAAGGCAGCAACCATATCTTCCCAGTTATGAACATTGGCTCTTTCTAGCTGATAAAACTAATCAAGTTGAGTTCCAGACAGACTGTCTTGGAAGACGTGTACCCATAAATCCTTGTTGGCAGTGTGGGGCTGGATTTTCCTCACATAGGATCGGAGATGCATTTTGGGACATGAAACTCCATCATATTTGGCGAACACAGGTGCTTTGAATTTTGGAGGAATGACAATCCCCGATACTAAACCCAATTCCTCAAAGTCCAATCCAGGAACTTTTTGGATTTCCATTGCACTCAACCGTTCTTCCAGATGCTTATACTTGTCATCGGCTGAAGGATATTGTTCTTCGGAATAATCTTCTTCTTCCTCTTCTGACTCTGACTCTGACTGGACAACTGTTTCTTTACCCTTCCTATCTTGATTGTATTTCTCACTGGATGTCATTGCAAAGTCTAAGGTCCTTCTTGCTTTTCCTTGGAATCTTCTTCCCATGTTTAGAACTCCAGTTATCTTCCTTGTCTTCTTTTTCTTCTCTTCAACCAGCAAAGTCTTCAACTCTTCTTATCCTTTGGCTAGAGTTAAGAACATCTATTGAAACTGTGCATTCTGAGCTTGGAGGTCCTTCACCGTTTGCTCGAGATCCATCTTACTGAAATAAATAGTATAAAGATGAGGAGACTTGTTGCAAGAAACCTTCTTATGTTATGATGAATGGTAAATGCATATGCAATGATTTCAAGGATTTTAAAGATTCAACTTTATTTTAGACAAAAAGGAAACACACGTTATATTAATAAATATAAGTTTGAGTACATCAATGCCTCTTTGGGAAAAACAATACAAAAACTCTAAGATAGAAAGGTAGTACGCATCCTCTTTGGTGCGATGTAGGCATTCAAGTTCCTCTCCTCATGAAGTTTCTTAGTGAGTTCCAAAACATTCTTCTTGATAGCGTAGAATTGGGCTTCCAAAGTATCTCGCTCCCACCTGAGTTGTATCCGATCTCTTTGTAAGTCTTCAAGAGAGGTGGGCATGTCAGGATGTAGGATAGTGTATGGAACATCTCCTTCCATAACATGCTCAATGATTACCGGAAGAATGGAGGGATAAGGCACCATAAGACTTTGAGCACGAGTTCGTACCCATTTGAGGTAAGGCTCAAGAGGGATGGAATTCTTATGCCCCAATGTCTTGATATCTACCTTGTTCAAGATCCTCCAAGCTCGGATAAATCTCTGGCGAAGACCTTGATCGTCATTCTCGTAGTCAAATACTAAACCTTGAATCAGCATCTCATGTGAGCCATCCCTTTGGGCGTAGCCAAACTGTCTTAAGGCTAAGCATGGATTGTAGGTGATACCTCCCCTAATGCCAAGTAAGGGGACATTAGGGAATTCTCCACAACGGTCGACAATAGTAACATTCTCTATGGATCGGGAACACCAATGGACGTCTGAATGTTTGAGCGTCATCAACCTTTGTGACCACTTTGAACCTTGCTCGTTCTTTAATATAGATTGTGGAAGATGAAAAATAAACCATCTTACCAAGAGAGGAGTGCAACACATATGGACACCTATTTTCCTCATAGTGCGAGTATGAAAAGAATGTAGGATGTCCCCTAGAAAAGTAGGCATCGGGTTGCGGGATATGAAGATTTTGACGGCGTTCACGTCTATGAGTTGGTCGGGATTTGGAAACAAAACCATCCCATAGATGAGGAGAGCCACAATTTCCTCAAAATATTGCAAATCCAAAGAGTTCCAACAGTTTTGGGCTTTCTCAAACAAGAACTTTGCTAGGAAACCCTTGACACCACTCCTTGTTTCCCAATGAGTTGTGACATCAGATGATTGCAAGTGTAGAGCTTGAGCAATCTCTTCTAGCTTTGGGTCTCTTTATGTACCGTTGAAAGGTATTTTATTGAGAATGGGAATCCTCAAGAGTCAGGAGAATTCTTCCAAAGTTGGCACAAGCTGATAATCAGGAAATGTGAAGCAATGGTGTAAAGGATCAAAGAACTGAAAGAGAACCTTCATCATGTCTTCATCAGTGTTGGAGGTGACCAAGTTGAGTAGGCGACCATGTTTCTCGGTGAATGGAGACTTTTAAGGAATCCTTGAAGCTAGCTCCTTGAGTTGTGGAGGGATCCTTACAAGATTGACTTGAATAGTTTTCCCGCGAATAGAGTCCATATCCTACAAAACAGAACAAAGATAAATCCCAAAATCCTTGAAATAATTATTGAATGAGTATGATGTTATGATGTTCATGATGTTATATACAAGTATGTATATACAAACAAAGCAAACAAGTCCTTAGGCTTATGCTTGCATGGAGTCTCATAGGTAAGTACCCTATTGAAGTTTAGTTGGCTCAAACCTGTCCTAGAAATAGTAACCGGGTTCTAAGGAGCTCAATATCACTGGTTTGTTTCCTTGGTCATTGTTTCAGCACAAGCCTCTTTAATGACGACCGAAATATCCCAAGAAACCAAACCTCAATGAGTGTAGTATCGAGTATCTACCAGCTTTGGACCGCACCAAAGCCGGTCATCTCACTACATCCTAACGGCCAAGTTGGTCAAGTAAAGGTTCTAAAAGTTCATTAGTGCTTCATGACATCACTCAGCGGTCCCGTATTCTCCTTGATTAACTCAAGGGCTATCAGTACCCACAAATATGTCGCACTAACGTAGTTATTGCTTAGACCATGTCAGTATACCCCGCACAGTTTCCACAATGTATTGCTACTTACCTATAACGTATCCCAAATCCGGGTAGAGGATTCAAACCCAAACAAAGAACCATAATGTAAAGCATATAAGTCAAATAAAGAAAGCAATTTAAATGTGATCTAACCCTAAGGTAACCCCACTTTTAGAATTCTCCCCAACAGAGTCGCCAGTTCTGTGATACGGTGGGAGAACTGACTTGAAGGTTTTGCATTTGATCACAAATGTTGCGGTTAGCAAGAGTTGCCACCGACTTTTCTTTTATCCAAAAGGAAAGGTGAAAAAGCACAGGAAAGACCTTTGAGATTATTTCTTGTGTTCGGGGGGTAGATTAAGAAAAGGGAAGGTATTAGCACCCTTTTTATCCATGGTTTTCCATGGGCTCTTAGTTACTTGCTAGATCACTTGATTTTGTTTGAAATTGTGCTTGGTGTGGTTTTTTTGAAAGTATTTTGTAAAGAGGCCATTGTTTAGGCAAACTTTGTAATGATTCTCGTTCGTAAGAATGTATACAAAGTGTTTGATCTTTTGAAAATGTTTTCAAGTTTGTAAGATGTTTTAAAAGTGTAGGTGTTTGTTTTGAAAATATCAAGTATGTTTGTTTTGAAATGGAGCAAGTAATTACAAGCATTCTACCTACTCAAAAGTCTTTCTTGTTCATTTTCTTTCATTTTGACATTGTTATCTTACCATTGATTTAGTAAGTAACCCTATCTTTGGATATAAACGGGACGGGCGTGGGTCATCGTATAACCATGATTAACAATGTTGCAAGGTATATTAGCATTCTCTTTTAGGGACTTAAATCATTTGAAAGGCAACTTAGATAGTGTCATCGAGGGACTATGATCTTGTATTTGTTGTTTTTGGTAAGACACCTCACATGCATAATCTGGCCATTTTGTATAAGGCAACAAGTGGAATGACCCTAGGGGTGCTTGTGTGCAAATGTATTATTTTCATGCTTTATTTTGTCTTGAATTAGGGTTTTTTAAGCATTGGTTTTAGTCTTTCCATACAAACCCTAATTATTAGCATTTGTGTATAAAGCGATAAATTGCGGAATTTAAAGTTACTACGCTATTACAATACTTGTGGGAAGGAATTGCGAGAATAGGGTTATCTCTCTAGCTTTTCTTGTTGTATTTCTAATACAATGAATGAATAACTTAATTCTCTTTATTGGATAATAACAAAGACATACACATACACAAGCCATTAACCCACATCCATTTAAGTCTCTCCAAATTACAGGGATATCCAAACAAGTTCTTACCTCATGCAATCAACATCATTGTCTGAAATCCAATTACGGCAATGCTGGCGCGATCTATTTATTTTTCTTTGTCTGGGAGTAGTTTCTTTCGAACTGAGTTTTCTCTCTCACAACAAACAGAAAATAAAACCTAATACGTGTGGTTCCTTTTGTTTTATTGGGAATAGTCAATTTAATTTTGTTGATTCATCTTCACACGCATGATAGAAAATTCTATCAGTTTCCAATGCAAATATCACATTCTAATTAACAGTATTATAGATTAACTGCTCCTATTTATTGCTATACAAGTAAAGTTTTACGGGCAGATGAATACTTCAACCAATACCCACATGTTTCCCTTAATTATAATTTTTTTAAATGCTGCCATATTCAATACAATAGTTGCTTTATACGATTTTTACATTGTTTAGAAACAACTTATGTTGTACCATTTTTCAACTCTAAACAAAAAAATCTATTACAACCCCACATTTTCTTTATATAAATAGTATACTTCTCAATAGCCACAATACATATAATTTCTCTAAATCTTCAAGAAGGTTATAAACATATATATTGTACTTCAAATTATGTTTGGATATCTAACTAAAATTATTATTCTATCCGATTTAGTGTTATTAACCATTTTTTGGTGCAGGTCCTATACAACGGAGATAGATATGGAAATAATACAGGAGATAAAGATGCCAACCGACCATGATCAGTCACTAATCCGTCTTGAAGCATATGTTATGTTTTTTGAAATTAATTCCAACCAGGTTAATTTAGAAGACGTTGGAGTACATCAGCAACATGATAATAATGTCATTGTTCAAAACTCTCATTTCAACAGACTATATTATAATGCAAAGTTGTTATGGAAAAAAGAAATCACAAGAGTATCAAAAGGAGGAAAAAATGTCATGGTGATAAATCATATAAACTATTTAATGGCATATTATAGAATTTATTTTCTTCTATTTGAAAACTAACAAAATTTTTAAATTTTTTAGAATATTCCAGCTGAGATAGTTCGGAAGAATTTTCGTGCGGATCAGACTGCTCTATCCTTGATAGACCTTGATAAAATGGAATATTATGATTGCCAGATTCTTAAAGGAAAAAAGCCACATACTGAGATGTATCTTAAAAATGGTTGGTATGAATATTCAAAGTCTAAAAACTTCAATGTTGATGATAACTTGATTTTTCATTACCGATCTGATTCAAAGAGACTATATGTTAAGCTGGAGAGAAAGCGCCGAAAGATGGTTAGTGGAATTAATGTATGAGGCTTTATGCTATTTTGTCCGTGTCATTTAGATGCTTAAATGTTTGTCTTAAAATAAATTATTATAAACTTATGTCAATAGTTATCATATTGATGTTGAGGTTAATATTTATGCTTTTTTAAAAATGTAATCTAAATACTATGAATATTAAGTCATATATCAAGTTAATTATCATAAACATAGAACATTTTGCATTTTTATTTCTGATAGTCTAACTACAAACATATAAAACAATGTTACCTAACCTCTTTAAACAAACAAAAAAGTCACGATTTTGCACGACCCGCACACGAGTCCTATACTAATTAAATTTTAAAAAAATTAATCACACTTTATTTTGAAATGTGACAGTCAAAATCTATCCACATATTATATATCAAATCTTACAAAATATTTGATAATAATTAAATTTTTATATCAATTATATTAAAAATCTAATGTAAATATAAAAATTTAATATATTTATATCAATTTGTTTCAAACATTTGAAATACTCATATAAACAAAAAAAATTAGTTTAAAAAAATTAAAATAAGATACTTTGGTTGGACAATTTTTTAATTAATAGTTTGTTGAGATATTTTTGTGTTACATATAAATATCAGTTTGTTAATTTTAAAAGGGTTAATGTGTAGCACATGTGCCCAATAATAAAAAATAAAATATATATTTTATTTGAAAATAATTATAAATTATGAAATTAAAGTATGTTAAAATAAATTAGATATTATTTAATTATTAAAAGAATGATTACATATAATTTACAATTGTTCCTAAAAAAATTAATAAGATAAAAGTAATATATATTTGTTGTTGAGATTTTATTAGATATTTGTTTCAAATAAAATAAAAATAGAAAAAAAATTAAAATACTAATAATAATTGTGTAAGTGACACGTAACATGAGAAAACTTCATTGTGTAACTCTTTTTTAATAGTATATATAATATTTATTTATTTTTACGGAATATTATATATATATATATATATATATATATATATATATATATATATATATATATATATATATATATATATATATATATATATATATATATATATATATATATATATATATATATATATATATATATATATATATATATATATATATATATATATATATATATATATATATATATATATATATATATATATATAATGAATCTGTTAAAATTCTATATATAGTAATTTAATCAATTTGACTATCTCCTAAACTAATTGATTCAAACGATTTATTTTTTGGATTAGGTTTATGTCTTTGAATTCTATCTTTTCAATAAATTTTAATTCAATTATTATTTTTAATTAATTTATACATAAGAATAATAAGTCTCTCGGTCAAATTCTAACATCATTCGGGAATATATTAGAGCCTCCTTGTGATTTATCACATGAAGTTTCATGATTATTTGAACCTCTACTTTAATGTCTTCTCCTTGATTCAGTAATCAAAACCTCAGAATATGAAGAAGAACCTCGTGACTTGCGTCTCAACTCCTCATTCAACATACTACTTTTAGCCAAGTCCATCGAGATGATACCATTTGGAGCGAAATTTGACAAGGATGTCCTAAAATTCTCCCAAGAATTAGGCAAAGTATCAAGAAGCCACAAACCTTGAATTTCTTCATAAAAATTAAGATTCATATCCGACAATTAATTTAGAATCTCTTAAAAAGTGTTCAAGTGATCGGTTATTGGTGAACCATCATTATACCTCAATGACATCAATTGTTTGAATAAGAACAAATTATTATTCTCCGTATTTCTTGCATACAGCTCCTTAAGTTTGGTCCAAAGAGAGTGAGCATGATTCACCGAGCTCACATGACTTAAAACATTATCATCCACCCATTGACGAATATAACCATAAACTTGTCTATGCAACAAAGTCCATTCTTCATCACTCTTTCCATCGGGTTTTTATCATTAGAGAAAACCGACAAGTAAAAACCTTTCACATAAAGCAAATCTTCAATTTTTCCTTTCTAAACATTATAATTGGAACCATTCAAACTCACAATCCTAGATGTGTTCATCTCCATCGTTACACAAATAAAACCACGACTCTAGATACCAATTATTGGCACGAAATCACAAACGCAACAGAATAACCCAAGAAGTCAAACTCTCCCAAATATCAAATGCACTGACAATCATCAAAAACACATTAAACAACACAACACAATTTTAGCATGGAAAAACCTCCGTTAACTAGGAGTAAAAACTCATGAGACCCGTAAGCCACTTAAAATATTCACTATAATCAACAATGGCTACAAGAAAGGTTATATCTAACACTAGTTAGAGGCATACATAAACATCATCAAGATTTAGAATTAATATTAGAATACAACAAGAATCAAGAAAGACAAAACAACCCAAAAACACCAAGAAATTCAGACTTCAAAAATAGACTCGACATACCAACTTAGAAAGCTTCAAGTCCAATCAAAATCATTCAGAATGTGCTCCCGTGAGTCATGAACATTGTGTCAAAATTTCAGAATGATCCGACCATTGGATTTTGCACAAGCTCCGATTTTCTGGGACTGATTTGTGCAGAATTGAAGTTGCGAGAATAGGGTTATCTCTCTAGCTTTTCTTGTTGTATTTCTAATACAATGAATGAATAACTTAATTCTCTTTATTGGATAATAACAAAGACATAGACATACACAAGCCATTAACCCACATCCATTTAAGTCTCTCCAAATTACAGGGATATCCAAACAAGTTATTACCTCATGCAATCCACATCATCGTCTGAAATCCAATTACGGCAATGCTGGCGCAATCTATTTATTTTTCTTTGTATGAGAGTAGTTTCTTTCGGAATGAGTTTTCTCTCTCACAACAAACAGAAAATAAAACCTAATACGTGCGGTTCCTTTTGTTTTATTGGGAATAGTCAATTTAATTTTGTTGATTCATCTTCACACGCATGATAGAAAATTCTATCAGTTTCCAATGCAAATATCACATTCCAATTAACAGTATTATAGATTAACTGCTCCTATTTATTACTATACAAGTAAAGTTTTACGGGCAGATGAATACTTCAACCAATACCCACATGTTTCCCTTAATTATAATTTTTTTAAATGCTGCCATATTCAATACAATAGTTGCTCTATACGATTTTTACATTGTTTAGAGACAACTTATGTTGTACCATTTTTCAACTCTAAACAAAAAAATCTATTACAACCCCACAGTTTCTTTATATAAATAGTATACTTCTCAATAGCCACAATACATATAATTTCTCTAAATCTTCAAGAAGGTTATAAACATATATATTGTACTTCAAATTATGTTTGGATATCCAACTAAAATTATTATTCTATCCGATTTAGTGTTATTAACCATTTTTTGGTGCAGGTCCTATACAACGGAGATAAATATGGAAATAATACAGGAGATAAAGATGCCAACCAACCATGATCAGTCACTAATCCGTCTTGAAGCATATGTTATGTTTTTTGAAATTAATTCCAACCAGGTTAATTTAGAAGACGTTGGAGTACATCAACAACATGATAATAATGTCATTGTTCAAAACTCTCATTTCAACAGACTATATTATAATGTAAAGTTGTTATGGAAAAAAGAAATCACAAGAGTATCAAAAGGAGGAAAAAATGTCTTGGTGATAAATCATATAAACTATTTAATGGCATATAATAGAATTTATTTTCTTCTATTTGAAAACTAACAAAAATTTTAAATTTCTTAGAATATTCCAGCTGAGATAGTTCGGAAGAATTTTCGTGCGGATCAGACTGCTCTATCCTTGATAGACCTTGATAAAATGGAATATTATGATTGCCAGATTCTTAAAGGAAAAAAGTCACATACTGAGATGTATCTTAAAATGGTTGGTATGAATATGCAAAGTCTAAAAACTTCAATGTTGATGATAACTTGATTTTTCATTACCGATCTGATTCAAAGAGACTATATGTTAAGCTGGAGAGAAAGCGCCGAAAGATGGTTAGTGGAATTAATGTATGAGGCTTTATGCTATTTTGTCCGTGTCATTTAGATGCTTAAATGTTTGTCTTAAAATAAATTATTATAAACTTATGTCAGTAGTTATCATATTGATGTTGAGGTTAATATTTATGCTTTTTTAAAAATGTAATCTAAATACTATGAATATTAAGTCATATATCAAGTTAATTATCATAAATATAGAACATTTTGCATTTTTATTTCTGATAGTTTAACTACAAACATATAAAACAATGTTACCTAACCTCTTTAGACAAACAAAAAAGTCACGATTTTGCACGACCCGCACACGAGTCCTATACTAATTAAATTTTAAAAAAATTAATCACACTTTATTTTGAAATGTGACAGTCAAAATCTATCCACATATTATATATCATATCTTACAAAATATTTGATAATAATTAAATTTTTATATCAATTATATTAAAAATCTAATGTAAATATAAAAATTTAATATATTTATATCAATTTGTTTCAAACATTTGAAATACTCATATAAACAAAAAAAAAATTAGTTTAAAAAAATCAAAATAAGATACTTTGGTTGGACAATTTTTTAATTAATAGTTTGTTGAGATATTTTTGTGTTACATATAAATATCAGTTTGTTAATATAAAAAGGGTTAATGTGTAGCACATGTGGTCAATAATAAAAAATAAAATTTATATTTTATTTGAAAATAATTATAAATTATGAAATCAAAGTATGTTAAAATAAATTAGATATTATTTAATTATTAAAAGAATGATTACATATAATTTACAATTGTTTCTAAAAAATTAATAAGATAAAAGTAATATATGTTTGTTGTTGAGATTTTATTAGATATTTGTATCAAATAAAATAAAAATAGTAGAAAAACAAACTCAGAAAATGTTGGATCGTGAAGATGATTTACATGATTACCTCAAAATAAAAATCAAAACAAGTTCAACTACTTCAAAAACCTTGTTCACAAATTTGTTATCAAGCATCCAAAACCCGACCCAGAACTTGTTCAGTTCACAGGGGGTTCAGCCAGCATTGTACAATCTCATACCCTTGGTCTTCAAGACCAAAATAGAGACAACAATGCTGAAGAAAATCTCACAGAAGATGAAGAAGATGATGATGTTGAAGAAATTGACATGATGCATGTGGATCATGATCCCATGGTAAATGATTTTGATTTTAACTGCATGCAATTGAAATCGGTACTTTTTTGATTTTGTGTTGGTTTATATCTGAAAGGATGAACATTTTTGTAGGATAATGAAGTGAGTGCAAGGAAAGGTGCAGAGTTTAGAGAAAGACTAATGAATGAAGTGAATAGGCCTTACTGTGAGGAAGAGTGCAACAGACTTGGTAAGTAGGATTTTTCTATGCTTATGTGAAGTTAATCTTTCTTTCATATTTTGAATTTGGATCAGTTCATTGTGTTTGATTGATGAGGATTTATGGTGATAGAGCAAAAACCACTTTGAAAATGTGATGCAAAATTTTACCTGATTGAGAGAGACTGACTGTTGGTTTTTATTTTGAAAATTTATAAACATATAACAAATATAGTCTTAAACAAACTTGAGATAACATCAGAATTCATAGAACAATTATACCTACGACATTAAAACTTTAATAATAACTATTAATCAAATACTTTTCTCTCCCATTTATTCCTCACTCAAACTCTTTTTATTTGGAATCAACAATCTTCAACATTTGACTTCTTTTCTTCTTCCATTGTCGAAATCACAATTGATTTGTTTGATTTTTTCCTTTCTTCAATTTCTTCCGACTCATTAGTATCAAGTAAAAAGTATAACTTGCCATTAACCCTGAATGACCAAATGTCAATTTTTTGATTCTTCCTAAAATTATTCTTTGACAAAACGTTTGTCCAGTCTTGAGCAAGATTATAAATGCTAGTAGTGGTCATATTCCACTTCTTCAAATGTAATGAGAATTCATTCAAACAAGGATCTAATACAGTAACATTTAAAGTAGCTGGTTTTCCTTCTTGATCCCTTGTTTCTAAGATTGACTTTTCTATTTCGGTCAGGAAATCAGATCTAATTTGTGAAATTGGCATTGAAAGACGTTTGTTGTTATAGCTAAGATCGGTGTTACATAATGTCTTACACATTATATATTTAATATCAATGCCATTCAACACTTTGATTATATCATTAACATGATTAGGCAATTCTGGTGGTGGTGGTGATGGTAGAGTTTCTCTCTTATAATTTCTTGGTTTCCTCTTAATTGCGAGCTTTGGTTTTACTCTTCTTCCTCCATCGGACATGCTACTGGCTTCATTACTTGGCCGACACCTTTTTAAGTTGTTGATTTCTGTTCTTTCCATTTTATTTTGTGAAACAAGAGGAATATTTGCTTCTTGATATAAAATTTGATTGACTTTCTCTATTTGTGTTAACTCTTCTTCAGTATAAAACTTTGGAGAAAGTTGAGATAACACACTATGCAAAGTAAAATGAGGTAATGGGTCAATTTTTTTTTTCATTGTTTCCAATTTTTGCATATACATATTGATCTTCTCAATAGCCATAACTTTCTTTTTCATGAGGACTTCTTCTGAGTTTTGTAACAATGCACTTTTCTCTTCTATAGCCATTGATTTCTTTTTTCTCTCTCTCAATAATGTCTCGTTGTGTTGTGATATTCTAAGTGTTCACAACTGTGTATTTATAGTATTGATGAAGATTTAAAATTGAAAACTAAATAATACAAATATTATCATATATCTCTTTCTTTTTTTTTATAGGCAAAATTTGTTACAAAATTTTGAAAAGATTTGATATTTATACTTCGATCAATCAAAATTTGTTACAATAGATTTATTTTTAATTTTAAAATAGGGTATCACAAGTAGAGTTAAACTTAAAATAAGGATAGTTTGTTTATTTCAATTTTAGTTGGATAATTTCTGTATATATCTCAGCCACCTTTATTATAGGCTAAACTTTTTAGAACATAAAAAAAAAAAAAAAATCAATCTTAGAATCTCGATGATGAAGATTTAAAATTGAAAACTAAATAATATTTGTATTTTATCATATATCTCATATTCTCTTCTCTTCTTTTTTTTATAGGCAAAATTTGTTACAAAATTTTGAAAAGATTTGATATTTATACTTCGATCAATCAAAATTTGTTACAATAGATTTATTTTTTAATTTTAAAATAGGATATTACAAGTAGAGTTAAACTTAAAATAAGGATAGTTTGTTTATTTAAATTTTAGTTGGATAATTTCTGTATATATCTCAGCCACCTTTATTATAGGCTAAACTTTTTAGAACGCAAAAAAAAAAAAAAAATCAATCTTAGAATCTCGATCAATCAATGACATTGAATTTATTTTACATATAAATTAAAGATTTGATACTAAAGAGCCAATTTCAACGACTAATCCAAAAGGAAACAAAATCTATTTTATAATTTAAAATTTAATTTTTGAGCCCCACGTGATCTATATATTTTAATTACTTTTAATTCTTTTTGAATAAACATAGTTTTTTTAATTAAATATACATCTTTTTACTTTCCATTCTATTGTTTTACTTTTCATTCCATTAAATTTTATCAAACTTCTATATAAAATAAAATTAAATAAGTTTGTGATTTTTATAAGTTTGAGCAGAAAGGAATCCACATCGCATGAGTTTTTAGACTGATTGATTTAGCGAATTCACTGCAAGGGTGTAAGCCTCGCTCGAGGAGATATTTCTTCATCCCGTCTGTCGTGGAGATCTAGACGGCTTCCTGACTGAACCTTTCAATATACGTTCGAACAGACTCATCCTTCTCCTAGATGATGGCCTCCAGCGCAACTTCTCAATATTGATCAACTCAAATATAAATCATAAAACAAGTGTATTTCCCCATATATTTATCATCAAGTTATTCATATACAAAATATCAAGTTAAATACATACAAAGATGAGATTATCTACCACTAACCTTGACACAAAAGAGGGGTTTAGCTATCCATTATCATGGTAGCTTGATGAACAAGTAAACTACAATGCTTTATAAATATCAAACTTGATATCTCAAAGATTGATGTTAGAAAGCTTTGATTTTGAGTAAAAATGACTTTTTTTTCTCCACACAAGAGTTTTCTAGGTTACAAAGATGAAGTAAAATGTGATAATGTGCCTAAAATATCTAAAAGGTGTTTTACAAACATGGCTTGTCTGCCTTGCCTCGTCGGAAGGCACACTTGCTTCGTTGGGCGACACCCATAAAACAAGCCCACGTGCCAGCAACAGTGCACGCACAGAGAATTTGTCTAATCAACTCTTGAGCATCCTTGAGCATTTGAGAACCCTAGAAGAATGTCTTGAAGAAAATGGGAGGGAAAATTTTGGGGTACAATAGCTGCCCCTGTTCAATCTTCTTAAACCTGAAGAGTTAGATTGGCAGATCCGCCATTCGTGACTTGAAGGTGAAAGATGATTGAACACTAAAGTGCCCAGAAATTTGCACTCGAAGATGTATGGAGCGTCATCAACCTTTGTGACCACTTTGAACCTTGCTCGTTCTTTAATATAGATTTTGGAAGATGCAAAATAAACCATCTTACCAAGAGAGGAGTGCAACACATATAGACACCTTTTTTCCTCATAGTGCGAGTGTGAAAAGAATGTAGGATGTCCCCTAGAAAAGTAGGCATCGGGTTGCGGGATATGAAGATTTTGACGGCGTTCACGTCTATGAGTTGGTCGGGATTTGGAAACAAAACCATCCCATAGATGAGGAGAGCCACAATTTCCTCAAAATCTTGCAAATCCAAAGAGTTCCAACAGTTTTGGGCTTTCTCAAACAAGAACTTTGCTAGGAAACCCTTGACACCACTCCTTGTTTCCCAATGAGTTGTGACATCAGATGATTGCAAGTGTAGAGCTTAAGCAATCTCTTCTAGCTTTGGGTCTCTTTCTGTACCGTTGAAAGGTAGTTTATTGAGAATGGGAATCCTCAAGAGTCAGGAGAATTCTTCCAAAGTTGGCACAAGCTGATAATCAGGAAATGTGAAGCAATGGTGTACAGGATCAAAGAACTGAAAGAGAACCTTCATCATGTCTTCATCAGTGTTGGAGGTGACCAAGTTGAGTAGGCGACCATGTTTCTCGGTGAATGGAGACTTTTCAGGAATCCTTGAGGCTAGCTCCTTAAGTTGTGGAGGGATCCTTACAAGATTGACTTGAATAGTTTTCCCGCGAATAGAGTCCATATCCTACAAAACAGAACAAAGATAAATTCCAAAACCCTTGAAATGGTTATTGAATGAGTATGATGTTATGATGTTCATGATGTTATGTACAAGTATGTATATACAAACAATGCAAACAAGTCCTTAGGCTTATGCTTGCATGGAGTCTCATAGGTAAGTACCCTATTGAAGTTTTGTTGGCTCAAACCTGTCCTAGAAATAGTAACCGGGTTCTAAGGAGCTCAATATCACTGGTTTGTTTCCTTGGTCATTGTTTCAGCACAAGCCTCTTCAATGACGACCGAAATATCCCAAGAAACCAAACCTCAATGAGTGTAGTATCGAGTATCTACCAGCTTCGGACCGCACCAAAGTCGGTCATCTCACTACATCCTAAAGGCCAAGTTGGTCAAGTAAATGTTCTAAAAGTTCATTAGTGCTTCATGACACCACTCAGCGGTTCCATATTCTCCTTGATTAACTCAAGGGCTACCGGTACCCACAAATATGTCTCACTAACATAATTATTGCTTAGACCATGTCAGTATACCCCGCACAGTTTCCACAATGTATTGCTACTTACCTATAAGGTATCCCAAATTCGGGTAGAGGATTCAAACCCAAACAAAGAACCATAATGTAAAGCATATAAGTCAAATAAAGAAAGCAATTTAAATGTGATCTAACCCTAAGGTAACCCCACTTTTAGAATTCTCCCCAACAGAGTCGCCAGTTCTGTGATACGGTTGGAGAACTGACTTGAAGGTTTTGCGTTTGATCACAAATGTTGCGGTTAGCAAGAGTTGCCACTGACTTTTCTTTTATCCAAAATGAAAGGTGAAAAAGCACAGGAAAGACCTTTGAGATTATTTCTTGTGTTCGGGGGGTAGATTATGAAAAGGGAAGGTATTAGCACCCTTTTCATCCATGGTTTTCCATGAGCTCTTAGTTACTTGCTAGATCACTTGCTTTTGTTTGAAATTGTGCTTGGTGTGGTTTTTTTGAAAGTATTTTGTAAAGAGGCCATTGTTTAGGCAAACTTTGTAATGATTCTCGTTTGTAAGAATGTATACAAAGTGTTTGATCTTTTGAAAATATTTTCAAGTTTGTAAGATGTTTTAAAAGTGTAGGTGTTTGTTT